AACTCACTTCCTCAATTTATCAAAGGGATTGGGAAACAGAAATATTCCATGGTGTCCTGTCCTTCTCAATCCATTCCAATGACCTATTAGCATTCCAAGCGTTTGTTGAGAACCGAAATCCTTTAAACACAAAAGGAGATGGTTTCATCAGGGACTTCTGGGAACAGGCCTTTAACTGTGTATTCTCAGATCCAAATGTGGAAGATGTAAAGGGGAATATTTGCACTGGGAAGGAGAAACTGGAGAGCCTTCCTGCTCCATTCTTTGAGAAGACCATGAATGGCCACAGCTACAGCATCTACAATGCTGTCTGTGCTGTAGCCCATGCTTTGCATTACATGTCTTCAACTAGATTCAAATATCAAGCAATGGAAAAAAGAGGTAGATGGAAGTACCAGAATCAACAGTTGTGGCAGGTAACATGCTCAACATTATCAAGAGGCAGAGCACCATAAATGTACTACAATAGTCCTTAATTTGTGTCCTTAATGTGTCCCCAATTCTTTCCCATCCTAAGGTATATAACATATATCGCTTTAATAACTCTTCTTCCTTTCCGCCCTTAAATTTCTGGATGGTTTCCAAATTAATGTTTGATTTTCTCAACTCGCCAAGTCCACCCAACTGGTCATGCCCTCCAGATGTTGTTTGACTACAATTCCCATCATCCCAGAACTCTTTCTATATTGACTGGGGCTAATGGCAGTTTTAGTGAAAGTCCTGCTCCATATTTTGTAATAGGTAGAAATTCTGTTATGAATTTGGTGGATCTAATTCATTCTGTTAAATTAAGAGCCAGTGTGCTGTAGTCGTAATCTGGTGAACCGGGTTCGCGTCTCCGCTCCTCCACATGCAGCTGCTGGGTGACTTTGGGCTTGTCACACTTCTTTGAAGTCTCTCAGCCCCACTCACCTCGCAGAGTGTTTGTTGTGGGGGAGGAAGGGAAAGGAGAATGTTAGCCACTTTGAGACTCCTTCGGGTAGTGATAAAGCGGGATATCAAATCCAAACTCTTCTTCTTAATGAGCCTGAACCAGGCCTTCTGGGAGTAGATCTACATGAATATGTATGCCCCTTGAAGTCACATATTTTATTTAAAAATAATAATACATAGAAAAAGAAGTTTCAGAAACTTCAGAAACATGCTTTAAAGTCAATTTATAAGCACTCTCCCTGCCCTCTTTATTACCATCTTTATTAAAATTTACTACCATTGGTATAGGTTTCTATATGTTCATCTTATATTTTTTTGTTGTATTTTTAATGCTACCTTCCAAGTGGGTGCATATACATTAATGGTTAGGCAGTTGAATCACATTATTATTTATTTTTTAAAAAATACATTCTGGTGTCAGAAGTCGGCTCTGACTGCGTCAACCCAAACTAAAATGGTGTTAACCTTATTGACTATTGAAACATTAACCGTGCTTCAACACTCTGAAAAATATAGAAACCAAACCTTCAGAACCTAACGTGCTTTAAAGTCAATTTATTAGAATTTCTACCTCCTTTTCTGAATTACAAAGAGTGAGCTTCTTTATCATGAATACTTTCTCACTCAGAAACCATAAACAAGGTATGACTTTACTATCAACGATCCAACTGCAGCCTTTTCTCAACTCTTCCCTTTTTCCTCTTCAAACCAGCTACATAATTTTCTCAGACATGTCTCTTTTAACAACAGTGGTGGGGACAAGATTTCCTTTGATGAGAATGGAGAGTTAGTGGCTGGATTTGATGTGATCAACTGGATTGTTTCCTCAAACCAATCATTTCATAGAGTGAAGGTCGGGAATGTTGCTGCCAACCAACAGTTGACCATCAATGGGGATGCCATAACTTGGCCCAGCCATTTTAACCAGGTAAGCCTCAATGGTCTGGTTTGTAACTTTTTAGAAAATAGAAAAACTACAATGGATGGATGGATGGATGGATGGATGGATGGATGGCAAAGATATTCCTATCTATATTAATTGAGAAGTTGTTTTGGGGAAGTATAAAAAGCAAAACTCTATATCTTGTCTGTTTTGTGTATGCATGAAATCAGAATCTACGCCCTTAACCAGGCTCCATCCTTTCCAAAAGATGGTTTCTTAACAGTCTGTTGTACTATAATTATCATGTTGATTAGCAAAATTAGTGATACATTACTGAAAGAAAGCATCACTTAAGAACACCTAAAAGTTGCCTTAAATATTCTAATCTCAAAATTGTCAAAATTACTATTCTGGGTTCTCATGTTTGAATTAGTCTCAGCCTCTTTCCTTATGCACTGAGCGGTGCCATCCCGGAACTAGGAAAAGAGTGAAAGATGGGGAGCCATTTTGCTGTTATGATTGCATCCCATGTCCAGAAGGGAAGATTTCGGCTCAGGAAGGTGAGTATTCTGCACAAACTGTACAGTTGAAAAGTGAATGGCTTTAGCTGGAATTCATAGGAATGTGCCTACAAATTAATGGCCATATACCAGGTTTAGCATGGGATTGAAATGTTTATTAAGCCTGTAGGTAGTTGCTGAAGAAGAAACTGGTTTGTGTCTGTGATTATTTGCCTCAGAGTCCCTGTCACAGAAATATTTTGGGTATTAAGTACAGTGGCTTTTGTACAGTAGCTAGATAATGGGCAGTACTAGTAACAGTTTATCAGAGAAGATAACTTCCAAATCAAGCTTCAAACAAACACACACACACACACAGAGAGAGAGAGAGAGAGAGAGAGAGAGAGAGATCAAAAATGATTTTCTGACTTATCATCAATGGCAATAAGAAAAAGAAAGAAAAAGTTTTAGGAATGAACTTAACTTGGTCCAGTCTTTGAAGAGTGTTTAGATCCTTCAATTGTTGCAAAAGCAGGAGACCGATTCTTTATGATAGGTAGACTCCACAATCTATCCATCTGACACAACACACACTGATACCGATACATTTACGTGATAAAAATAGAAATTTACAGAGATAGAAGGAATTAATGAAAAATTAAGAGAATACATGACCAACCTAAATAGAACAGCACAGATAAAAATAATTGGAAATTAAAAAAATAAAGTTTAGAGTTTTTGCTCTATATTTTTATCTATTAACAGGGTTTGCAACTTTTTGTTCCAGGAGAGGACTTTCAAAATTACTATGCTTTGCATTTTAATAAAGTGAAAATAATATCTATCTAGTCTAGTGGTTAAAATGTGAGGTTTTTATCTGTTACACCAAGGTTTAAAAAATCCTTCCAACACTACACAAAATAGCCATAACTCCTAGCCTTATTTTGCTTACAGATTATAGTACTAACACACAATGTTCCTCGCAGATGTCGGTTAAAACTCCACACGCACTACTTAATAGGGCTTTCACCAGACAAGACAGGAAAAATTCATAATCACATTTAATATGTTGTTCATTAGAATACAAAAACCATTGCATATTAAATAATAACAATTAAAACATAGTTCAGATAGACATAATTTCTACAGAATATGTGTTCACTCTCCCTGATTAATACCAAATATTTTCTTTTTCAGACATGAATGAGTGTAATATATGCTCAGAAGAAAAATGTCCAAATAGTAATCAGGATATGTGTATTCCCAAGGAAATAACCTTTTTATCCTATGAAGAACCTCTGGGCATCAGTTTAGCCTGCAGTGCTTTTGCTTTTTCCTTCATCACAGCTTTGGTTCTGGGAACATTTTTGAAGCACCACCACACACCCATTGTCAAAGCCAACAATCGGGACCTCACCTACACTCTCCTCACTGCCCTTCTCTTCTGCTTCCTTTGTGCATTGCTATTCATGGGAAAGCCTGAGAAGGTGACATGCCTCTTCCGACAAACTGCTTTTGGCACCATCTTTTCAGTGGCTGTTTCTTGCGTGTTGGCAAAAACCATGACAGTGGTTTTAGCTTTCATGGCCACCAAGCCAGGATCCAAGATGAGGAAGTGGGTGGGGAAGAGACTGTCTATTGCCATTGTGGTTTCCTGTTCTTTTATTCAAGGAGGCATCTGTACTGTGTGGTTAGCATCCTCACCCCCATTCCCAGATGTTGACATGAACTCAATGGTTCAAGAAATTGTACTGGAATGCAATGAGGGATCCGTGACTATGTTTTACTGTGTCCTGGGCTACATGGGCTTCCTGGCTCTTGTCAGCTTCACTGTGGCTTTCCTTGCCAGGAAGTTACCTGACAGTTTCAATGAAGCCAAGTTCATCACTTTCAGCATGTTGGTCTTTTGCAGTGTTTGGCTGTCCTTTATTCCCTCCTACCTCAGTACCAGGGGGAAATACATGGTTGCAGTGGAGATCTTTTCTATCTTAGCCTCTGGTGCTGGACTCTTGGGATTCATCTTTGCCCCCAAATGCTATATTATTGTGTTGCGGCCTGAACTAAATAACAGGGAACATCTAATAAGAAATAAGACCTAAGGAATCTGAGGGCCTTCAATCTACTTTATTTTGCTTGTTTGTTAGTTTTTTATTTATAAAAAATGTTGAACTATATAAATTTTCCCATAGCCTCCCACATTCTCTGAACATTTAAATTTTATTTGGAGAATTTAATTAAGATTTTGCAGCCAAAAAGGGAGGGGGGAATATATGCATCCTGCCCCTGCATTTATTGTTCAGGCAACTCCCCATTTACTTGGGGGTTGCATTACTTTCTTTCCTGTAGCCCTTTTGGACCCCTTAGGATTTTATTTTTATTTTTAATTTTATGAAGTCAGCTGAAAACACCAACCCTTCAAAAGAAACACTGAGGACTGGGGGCAAGAGCTGATCACGAAGCAGCACAGAACCAACTTGCATGATGTCAGTATTTCATTCTCTCATCGCAGGATCATGTGAACCTCTGATTACATTCCATAACACTGTAAGTATGGGAATGGAAGTCAGAGTTTCTGTTCCCACACTTACAGTGTTATGGAATGTAAACAGAGGATCACGTGATCCTGCGATGAGAGTATGAAATACGGAGCAGTCACCGTTCGTGATTGATTCTGGTGCGACACAACATCTGTGTAAAGACAGAAGCCTGTTTATTGAGCTCCAGAAGCTCAATAAACAGGCTTCTGTCTTTACACAGATATTGCATCACACCGGAATTGATCACGAACGATGACTGCACACGCTGACTGGAACAAAGTGTGATCAAGCATCCTATACCTCCAGGTATAAGGCGGTATATAAATTCTAATAATAATAATAATAATAATAATAATAATCTTGAAGACCTGTGTTTTATCTTGGTGTTCTGATTTTATTTGTCAGAGATAATAAAGACCTCATCCACTTTCTTGAATGGTGTGTTCTCTAAACTATTAACTCAATGGTTTCTTGAACTCAATGGTTCAAGAAATTGTACTGGAATGCAATGAGGGATCCGTGACTATGTTTTACTGTGTCCTGGGCTACATGGGCTTCCTGGCTCTTGTCAGCTTCACTGTAGCTTTCTTTGCCAGGAAGTTACCTGACAGTTTCAATGAAGCGAAGTTCATCACTTTCAGCATGTTGGTCTTTTGCAGTGTTTGGGTATCTTTTGTTCCAACCTACCTCAGTACCAAGGGAAAATACATGGTTGCTGTGGAGATCTTTTCTATCTTAGCATCCGGTGCTGGCCTGCTGGGTTGCATCTTTGCCCCCAAATGCTACATTATTGTGTTCCGGCCTGAGTTGAATGAAAGGGAACATCTAATAAGAAATAAGACATGAAGAATTTGAGTGCATAGAATGCATGCATAGAGTTCACAAGACAAGGGGTTAAAATTTTCTTGTTCTGCTATGTTATCTTCTTTCTTTTATCATATTGTGAGCTCCTGTGTTAAATAAAATTGTTTAATTGTACACTGAAATGGAAAATAAATCTGTAATGTATCTGTATTTAGATTGTGAAGCATGGCATGGAAACTTCTACTGAAGCTAAAGAAAAGCTGAGAGAAGAGTCTAGCAGTTTTAGATTAAGTGGGGCTGTATCTCAGCTGGGTCAATTACAAGGTGCTTAGCTTAGAATCACATGGAAGGTCTAGTATTACAAGTCTATGCATATGCTTATCTCTCTCAAAGAAAGGAGCCTCAGGCTAATGGAGACTGGAATGGAGGAAGGACAAAGCTTGGAATTTTAGCACTTGAAGATATATATATTGGAATCCAAGTGTGCTACGCTTGGACAAGTATAAGACATTATTCAACTATCTGAATGTAACTTTATTTGTTTCACGTTGCTTCAGAGCAAAGTTGTGTAGTAAATCTTTTGAACCATATTTTTGCACGGAAGAATTTTTATTTCAAAGAGTCAGCTTTTATTCACATTATTTGGCTCCATATGTGCACTGTTAATGGCCTCAATAGCCCGGGTTTTGAGATCTTTGGGGGAAGTCCTTTTCTTGTTCTTGCCACCCTCACAGGTTCACTTGGTAGGGAAGCAGGAGAGAGCCTTCTCAGTGGCTACACACAGACTTGGGAACTCCCTCAATAGAGAATTAAGACAGGCTCCCTCCTGGTTGTCCTTCCTTTAGCAAGTGACAACAGGCTGCCAGGCCAGAATTCATATAGGGGTCTCTCCACCCTCCCATTTCGACTCTCTGGCACCGTATCTGCATAACCCAGAAATTCAAAAATATTGATGCGCTTTTACTCTTGTAAGATTGAATGTGTTGCCCTTGGATGTACTTGAGGGATGATTCCAACAGATTCCACAGGAAAAACTCTTATATCCCTGAGGAGAAGGCAGTACCGAATCATTGGCGCATGTCCTTCTGGCCTGCACTCTTTATAAAGACTTGAGAAATGAGATTATCACCCCTCTTTTATTGTCCATTCTGGGTTGGCCAACCACTACCACAGTGTTTTTTCTCTTGGCAGGTCAAGATGAGCAGGTGACAGCAAAGGTTGCAAGGTTTTTAGCTGGTGCAATCAGAATAAGAGATACTATTTGACTATTGATCCAAAACCCTAAAATAAATTTTATGTAATTGACTTTTTATTTCTATTCTTTGTATATTGTATACAGTGGTACCTCTGGATATGAACGGGATCCGTTCTGGAGCCACATTCGCATCCTGTAGCGAATGCAACCCGCGTCCACGCATCTGCGCATGCGCAGGTCGTGAATCACTGCACGGCGCTTGCATGTGATGTCATTTTAACTGCCTGCGCATGCGCGAGCGGGGAAACCCGGAAGTAACGTGGTGTCCAACCCAAAAGCATTCAACCTGAAGCAACTTGAACCTGAGGTATGACTGTAGTTGTTTTATTGCTATGGCTGATGACTGACGCATATTAAGGTTCATTCATTCATTCATATATCTAGGGGTGAGTCAGTGCCTATAACTTGATGGATCACAAGTGGCATAGATCTTACTTAGTGTCTCATAATTGACATTCAAACTCATAGCTGTCTGATAAAAGGGGTGCATTAAGGGGATTAATGTCTCTCAGCTGCCCCCCCCCATTATATTCTGACCAACATCCTCTTGTTTAATGTGGATTTACGAGGCAGCATTTATTGAGACTGCTCATGGTGCAATAGGAAGGAGACGCAGGCATAATGCATCCATGACTACCTTGTTGCTAACCCCTACCACAAAGATTTGAATCCAGTGTTCTCTTCATGCTGCGGGTCATTCCAAACTTCATCATGCCTTCCTATCTAACTAAAGCGTGAGGGAAATCTTCTTTCCAAAATATGTGACAAACAACTTTTCTTAATTCCTAAAGGACTCCACATCCTCCATTTAGGAATTGTTGTTAATGTAATAATTAACTACACAATTAGCTACTCAGAAGGACGGTCATTAGTTATGATGTTCAGCCAAACCCCTGTGGGACTTCCTTGGCTGTTAGCAGAACAGAGAGCAAAGAGTGTGAAGGTTGTCATAAATATATCCAGTGAAAGTCAGGGATATGGAGTGGCACTGGGGAAAGACAGGGGTTCACAGCTCTGCTCTTGGATATTCCAGGCTTCAGACTTCTGTACCGAGGATGGTAGTTTTAGTCATTTTGCTGCTGCCTCTGCTTCCTCCCATGGAATGCAAGACTCATGCTGTTCAGTGCAATATCTATTACCCACAGCCTCCACTTCACAAATATCATCAAGAAGGAGACTTCATAATTGGTGGAATTGCTTATCATTCTGGTGCCATCGTCAGTGAACTAGCCTTCAGGGAAGAACCCCTGCCAACATTGACAGATCTATTTGTGTAAGGCCTAAATGATTGTTTGATTTTCTTTCCAAATATTTTATTAATTTATTTTATTCAATAAAAATGGCCACTTAGATAATTTGTGCTAGAGCTGCAGCTAAAGAACAAAAAATGTAGGGAGAAATCCTATCCACCAAAAGCTAGTGTGAATTAAGATACAGCAAATTAATGCGACATAAAGTTACTCCAGATCTAAACCCTGTTTGCCAGCAGGGCTCCTGCTGCTATTCTGTCCATGCCTGGCTTAGGGAAAACCTGCTTTTAAAATATGTACTATGCCAGGTTACCAGGTCACATGACCAAGCTGGACATGCTTAGGATCTAACAAAGTCTCCGCTCTCTGATTCCACCTCTGCCTTGCTCCTGGAATGCTCCCTTTTTCAGTCTCAGACCAGCTTGGCTCAACCAGCTTCATCACAGCCAGCTTGGCTGAGATGACCAGGTTATGCTGATATACAGTATGTTCAACTGAACTGGGGTTGGGGACTTAATGCCAACTGAGCATGATTGATCCAGAGATCCAGTGCATCCTAAAATGCTCCTCCTTGTGGATTTTACCATAGGGTTGCCCCCTCAGTCTGCTCCATCTGACAGCTTTAAAAAATAAACACCATCCCATCTGTTTGGTTATATTTTAACTTTATTTTCAAATAAGCTTTATAATGAAATAAATGATAAAAATCTAAAAACTTATTTTAATCAGAATGGAGAGTTTTATATTGTAAATGTGACTGCTTACATAGTTAATTTTTTATATTTATATCCAACTTATGTATAAATACTGTAATAATTGATTGTTAATAAAAGAGGCACAGAACACATTGGTAATAACTAAACTAAGTATGGAATATCCTTCTGAAAAAGAATATCACACTTCTTTCAGCATAGTCCCTAAGCATTACCAGCACATCCTGGCTTTGGCATTTGCAGTAAAAGAGATCAACGAATACCCTCAGATTTTACCCAATCTCACTTTGGGCTTCGACATCTATGACAGCTATTGCAATGCAAGGAGGACTTATCATGCTACAATGCTACTTTTATCCACAGAGGAGAGATTTATCCCTAACTACATATGTGAGCAACAGAAAAATCTAATAGCAGTCATTGGGGGAGTGGATGCCCCAATTTCCATGAATGTGGCGACGCTCTTGGAAAACTATAAGGTTCCACAGGTAGGTCAACTCTGCTTTCTCTTTCCCTCCCTCCCTCTATGTGACCCCCACATTTCCTATACTATTATTTCAAGACATTAATGTGGGCCTTAAAAATACTGAGGCTTCCTTTTTATGAATCTTACATGCAAACTGAGTTTTAGGATCCTGTTTCTGATGTGGTTTTTAAGATGCTGTGAGTGTTGCTGTTTCTTTGTGTTACTGAATTTATTTCAGGAGTTTAAATGTGCTATTTTGGGTTGTTAGTTGACATGGGTGGAAATGATTTTTTTTCCTCAACCTGATTGGCATTTGGTTGGGGTTTGTTTCATATTTCCTTATTTCGCTGCTGTCGTTGGTCAAATAACGTGCCTAACTGGGCAATAAGAATTTTCCTCTGAGAATGTTGCTGTAATCTAGCAATTATAGATGCAAAATTATAGATGAGCCAGGAAAACCTCAGTGCATTTTCCTCTCAGCCATAAATCCACTTGATGGCTATTGATCAGTGTATATTCTTTCAGCCTTGAATCCCTAACTTGAGCATTGGAATGTTGTTGTTGTTGTTTAGTCATTTAGTCGTGTCCGACTCTTCGTGACCCCATGGACCAGAGCACGCCAAGCACTCCTGTCTTCCACTGCCTCCCGCAGTTTGGTCAAACTCATGCTGGTAGCTTCGAAGACACTATCCAACCATCTCGTCCTCTGTCGTCCCCTTCTCCTTGTGCCCTCCAT